GAAGGAAATAAAATAAATGTTCCCTTCCAACAAATTTAATTTTATAAAAATTTACCGTTAGAAGGACGAAGGAGTTGTTTGTGAAATAACCTCATCGAAAGATTGTTACACTACTGAGGTTGTAAATACATCTTACAGGAGGGGTTCTCATTACAATTTGGGGTTATTGGCAATTTATTGCATTAACTCCCAAACATTTTTGGGACCAATGCCCCGCCGTGTCCACGTCACGGTCCTGGAAGCATGACTGAGTGCGGTGGCCGGGAGTAAATTCATTGAAAAATCAATAAAGATGATTTAAATAACAAAATAGAAACAGAATAGTGTTAAACAACCTTCAAAAAACATGTATTTACAACCATTCTATTAGTGGCGGTCCAAAGTAATATTACCCAAAAGTATTAGCTTAGAAGCTACCGTTGGGTACCTCGTTCCCCATATCAATCCCTTCAACCCCCCTCCCCTATCAACCGCATACGAAGACCACGAACACCGAGAGTCGAGCTGACCACCACCAGCCCCCCGAGATGACGAGGACGATTTAGCCCCGAAAATTCCCGAAACTGGACAACAGAACCACCCGAAAATTGGCAAACATAGAGATGAGAGGTGACGAATCTCTCACCTGTCACACGTACACACGATCCCCGCACTCCCGCTGGCCACGAATATTGAATGCCGATTAACGGCGAAAAGGAGAACGGGGAATACGAGAAATCCCAAGGAAAACCAGAAGAAAGCGACGAGAGAAGAACTCACTCATTCGTGCTACAACAGTCCTGGTGATTAACATGTCTTTGTGCCACCGCTGAGATTATCAAGTGAAACCGTATCTGGGACATTCCATGTCAACTTAGCCACCCCAGATTTTTTTTTGTCTAGAATAAATGATTTGATTGCCGCATTTCGAACTACTATATATAGACAGTATTCCTGCCAAATTTCATTGCCTCATGATTTTTTGTTTCTGAGATAATGACTGCCAAACCTTAAATTTTCAAAAATTTATAACTTTTAAATGGCGCATCCGATTCGAACAATTAAAAAAAGAAAATTTTTGTTTTTGTTCATACTTTCAGGAAAAAAATTGTCCATAGGCGTGAAGACGCTTCTACACCTAAATTTCGATGAATTTTTACGTTTTTATTTTTTTTCGGCTTTAGGACCGTCCGGTATTCGACTGGAATATTTTTTTTCTCATAGAGGACGTCCATATATGATGTAAAAAAATACGACATCGTGGGAGAGACAACCAGTGTGCCGGAGAAAATTTTTGTTTCCTAAATTTTCGTGTTTTTACGCCTTCTAGGAGAGCTGCCTTGTTTTTATTGAGAAATTGATATTTCAATCCATACCTTTGATGAATATGAGTTAGAAAAGAGATGCGTCACGATGGAAAAGAGAAACAATGCGTCGGGAAAAAAATTTTCTTCAAAATTTTTGCGTCTTTCCGCTTTCTATGAGAGCTATACTGTGTCATCATCGGAAGTTCGCCTAATCATGACCAAACAAATAAGAAAAGAAAACAAAAAGAATCAATTCATTGATTTAATATCATCAGTTTTTCCTGAGGCTCTAGTTTTAGTGAAAACTTCAACTTCCTCATTGAGTTTTCATCGTTGTACAATTCCTTGCGAATCGATTCGCATTTTCCTGTCGTATCGAGGTAAGCAGTTTTCACGTTACTTATTGGAATAATCCTCATTTTCCGGATAATTTTGGATTGGATTTGATAATTTTGCATTTCATAGAATGCCGCGAAGTGACAGGTATGCGAATCCGATGCGGATTCCTGGTCATAAGGGACACAATGGATTGGATTTGCGGCCCATTTCCTTGGCAATACACAAGAAATTTCCCTTCCTACCAAAGCCTGCGAAAATCTGTGGCCAGTGCCGGAAGATGGCCCCGAATTATGTGATTCCACCCATCTCAATGGTGAATGTTCATGATACACATCTTCGATGTTCGGACACCCCACCCGAGATATCACAGCTCCAAGCCGAAACACCCGAACCAAGCCCAGATGTGATGAACAGTTCTCTGAGATCAGGTCGGTCTTTCCATCTCGAC